AAAATGCAACGAACCTAACAACTAAAACACATCAGGCAGGAGACAGAATATCAGGCTTGAAGACAAGGTAGAGGCGCTAGATGGCTTAGTCAAAAAAATAATGAATCAAAAAAAGTTCTCTTTGCAAGTAGCACCAATTCAACATAAAAGTGAAATTCCAGCTGCGTGTTCTCCTATTATATAAAATAGTCTAAATTTTAGACACCATAACTCACTCTGGAGAGCTTTCCCAGGAAGCTGGATAATCATTACCATCACTATGCAAATGAAGTGACACTAAAAAGCCATCTTTATCCTTCCCTCACAGAACTCCACTATTCCTGGCCAAATGTCCAGAATTACACTTATTCGCAATACTGACCTGGGAGAAGACATTTCTCAAGGAACCCAGGATTTGGAAAGGAAATAGGTGTCTCAGGAAGTCATGGTCAACCAGCTCACTGCTAACAGCCTAGTGTTGATTTCATCCTGCACTGTTCTGCTTTCACCACAAGATGGTGATATTACAAGGTATATGGTCACAGCCTTCAAAAGTGAGTTATACCATGCCATCTAAGATTCTGGGAATACTGAGGAAGAGGCTGTGCAAAGGAACTAAGGGGAAGAGAGGGAATGGGCATGACATGCCATTCTCGAGACTCCACACAACTACAGTAATCAGTAACCCAGAGCAACTGTCTTACCTGCACTGGCCTCACTCAAGACCAGCCTTAGCTACAATCAGTCTAGGAAGGGAGGATGCTCACAATGTTCCACCCTTTACCTCTCAACTGTGACTATGGACAGAATTTAGGAGAGGAGGAATCACTGTCTTTAGTTGTGTTTCTTCTGCTGAGCTCAACAGCTCAAAAACAGCTCCAAACCCAGTTTCAGAGGTGGCCCTGGTTAATCTTGGTGGATCAAAGAACAAAATGAACAGAAATGAACATAAGAGGTAGGGAATAAATAAGAGAGAGAGAAGGAAAAAGAGAGAAGAAGAAAGACAGGGAGGGAGAGAGGGGAAGCCAGAGAGACTTGGCACTATGGATGAGGACTGTGGGGAGTAAGAAATGTGAGCATATACTATGCGAGATATATCATGTGAAATGGCAAAATAATAATAGACGTTTAAATGACCACTTCAGTGTGTACTTTCATTTTTGTGTCTTTATCTGGTTTGGTATTAGGGAACACTAGCTTCATAGAGAATCTGGAAGCCTAGCTTCATTTTTAAATCAAGGAAC